TGGCTGAGGCTGAAGGATCACCAGAGCCCAGCAGGTCGAGGCTGCGGTAGCCGGGAGCGGCCACTGCACTCCAGTCTGGGTGACAGAGTGAGACTCCAACTCAAAAAAAAAAAAAAAAAAATCAAAAATCAGCTGGGTGTGGTAGTGCGCGCCTATAGTTCCAGCTCCTTGGAAGGCTGAGGCGGAAGGATCGCCAAAGCCCAGCAGGTCGAGGCAGCAGTGGCTGGGAGCGGCCACTGCACTCCAGTCTGGGTGGCAGAGTGAGACTCCAACTCAAAAAAAAAGAAAAAAAAATTTTGCCCAACTGTGGACTAATGCAAGGTAGGCTAGACTAAGCTGTGATGTTCAGAAGGCTGAGTGTTTCAAATCCATTCTGACTTACAATACTTTCAACTTATGATAGGTTTATCCCAGTGTGGTCCCATCAAAAGTTGAGAAGTTCTGTACAAAAAATCTATACCTCACTACAACCTGCTACGGTGGAATACAGAGGAATCAGTTTCACTCTGCCAGAGAGAGATGATCATAACTCACCTTCTTTTTTTTCTTTTTCTGAGTTTTCCGACTTGCAGAACTCTGCAGGAGGGCCTGGAAAACAGGAAGAAGGCAACAACTTCAGAAATGTGGAGAAAAGAAAAACACAAAGTGTGACAAGCTCTGAGCCTCTTTTCTGGACTTTGCTGGCATAACCTCACTCCCAGGGCAGGTGCCACATACTCACCACCTTCCATTCCACACTAACCTTCAGCTCTGCATCCTGGACCTCCATCTCAGACTTGTAGAGTTCAGGCTCAAAGGGTCCACTAGTTATCCGCATGGGGCCATTGGGCATGAGCAGAACTGTAAATTTAAACTGGGCGACAAATTCACCTATGGGAAAAATGAAGATGTGTTTTGATCAAATGTTCCCTTGCCATCTAATCAGGGCTCCAAAGAGAAACTCCTCAGAACTCACCCTCCTTCTCATAGAGAACATTAAATGGTTGCAGCAGTTCATGTTTGGCGCACTCCACCACACCCATCCGAGCCTTCTTCTCATCATCAAATGCCCTGGTAGGGGATGACAGTCAGAGGTGTTCTTAACTTACCGAAGTCTTACATTTTGCTCGGGTTTTTTAATAGCTCCTGTCCTCAGGCAGGAATCATTCTTAGAATTGCTCTTTTACGTTATCTTCAATGAGGAGATGGGGGAGGAGAGAGAACATGCAAGCTACAAGTCTAGGCAGGAAGGGAGGGGAAGGAAGAGAGGGGAGGGAAAAGTGTTCCTGGGTCTGTGAGTCAGACTGGTTCCAAGTCCTGTCCTTGCTAAGAGCATTACCTTAAAGTAAATGGCATGGCGTCAAAACGCCTTTCCACCTCACTGAAGAAGGCACGGGAAGTTTTCATTTTCAGTCCATACTGTTTAGAGGGGTCTCGTTTGTAAATGGTAGTCCTCTGCCCGGCATCCTTGGCCTACACGAGTAAGTGAGGTCACATTTGGTGTGGTGAACATGCCCCTCGTCACCCCCTTTTCCCAGCACTGTATTCTCACCTTGCCCTCTCCTGAGCTGACAAGGACATCCACAGCATATACTTCATGTACCTCAAATTCAGCCTTTTCATGGTCCTTCCTAAAATGAACAGAAAGGAAACATAAGAGTTAACAGGTAGCTCCTAGAAGCTTGGAGTAGAAGGTGGACAGGCTTAAGCTGGGTGTATGCAAGGGGTTGGCACCTACTTCTGCTGGTCTGTGGGATTCTGGATAATGGTCTTCTCTCCATCGATGACATGCTGCTTCAACTGGTGTGATAGCATACCTGCAGACAGGACACAGCCTATGGAATGAGCTATCTAGAATCTCAGGTTTCCAAATCCACCCACCTCAGCAGTTTGGAGGGGCAGGCAATAAAGAAAGTGCCTAGTTTTGGAAACAGGGCACTACGATTTCTGGCTCAGAGCAAAAGCCTTAATTCTGCCAAGCCACTTATTCTTAGACCCTCAACCCAATTATTCAAGGTCTCACCTTCTATTGGCGTGCAATTAAATGAGTGAGCAACTTTGTTCCAGGCTTCTGTCACTTGTGTGTTCTAGAAGTGCAAGATCAAATACGGGTGAGATATCAGGGGCTAGTAATTCTTTACCACGAGAATAAGCAGCATCAAAGAACTGAGAGTTCTTTTTTTGTTGTTTCTTTTTTGAGTTGGAGTCTCGCTCTGTCGCCCAGACTGGGGTGCAGTGGCCGCTGCCGGCCACCGCAGCCTCGACTGCTGGTCTCCGGCGATCCTTCCGCCTCAGACTTCCGCGTAGCCGGAATTACAGGCGCGCGC